ACTATCATAAAAAGTTACTTTAGGTTTAGTTAAAGCACTGCTGAGTTTTCTTTTAAAAAGATAAAATAAAGAAAAAGAAGTGGTTATTTGATAAACTAGAGACTATATGCAAGAACAGTTTATCACAGAGCAATACATAAATCCTCTGGCCAGCAAGTCAGTGTTTAGTAAAAAAACCCATATCTCCTGCAGCAGAAAACACTCTGTAAGGAACAGTGAGTCCAGGATCTCACCAAAACCAAAAATAATCTTACAGCAAGTGAATGCCATCCCTCTGCCGATGATGAGTATAAGCGCTGCAGCCACAACTTCTTCCCAGATAAGGAGCCCTGTTACACCAATCTCACTGTTGGTTTTACCCCTTATGTAGGGTTAAATTACAAAAATTTCTATTAACTTAAAGTTTTGGAAAGCTCCTCAAGTTTTTGCAATCATTTTCCTTGACATTTCTGTTTCCCTGTAGTACACACACATAAAGAGGATGTAGTGCATAATCAAGTTGCCAGCCAAAATGTTTTCAGTTTAAAAGAGGTCCATTTTCAAATGCTGGTTAGTGTTTGCTAGATATAGGAAGCTGCAACATCTTATGTGTACGTGCTCATGCCGTGTCCCAGCTTCCATGGTTGAAGCCTTCTGAGGAAAAATTTGTTGTTGCCTTTCATAGACTGTACTACCAAGTATGCTACCTATCACACAACATGCCATCTTTGAACTCATGAAGAAACATTTCCATTAGAAACTCTGCTCCTTTATCATAGAAGCTTTTATGTTGGAAAAGACCATTAAGATCATCAAGTCCAGTCATTAACTGAACACTGCCAAATCCACCACTAAACCATGTTGGTCTGTGGTTGTTCGTCAGTTTATACCTAGAAGAGTACCACTGAAACTGGTGTCACTGCATTTCTATCTTTGAAAGTTCCTCAGGCCATATAAAGCAATACTACACACCAAACAGCTAAATCTAAAATAGTTTTTATGTTTGTTTTCTCTCAGGGCTACAAAAGTGGAAGAAAAAAAAAAATCAGACAAATGCATCTAATTCAGTTTTGTTAGTCTTTGGGATGCTTTTGTTGGATTAAAGACCTGAGGCTCTTGACTATCTATAGATAAAAGGGTAATACAAAAAACAACCAAAACTACTTGTAACACTTTGGAGGATAATCTTATTATTCTCTTTGAAAAGCATATTCTGGCATGTCCTCTCCACCCTTCTTTTTTTAAAAAAAAAAAACAACAAAACAAACAAAACCAGAACACAACACAAACAAGCACCAGTTTGCTCAGCCAAGAGAGCTCATAAAGGTGAAGAGCACTTCTCATGGGATATAAAATATGAATTATATTGGAAAATAAACTCTAGATTATGTTTGGCATTCCTCGACCATCTACCAGCAACAGATGTTCTGTCCTGCAAGTGATATAATTTTGACAGTAGTACAGCAACTCCTTAAATAAATTACTGAGTTATTGTCAAAGTAATACAGGTATTTTCTTTTAGGAAAAGTAATTTCACTCTTTAACCAATTAATTATGAATTTACGTTCATTTTCTTCCAATTGTGAAATCAATGCTAAAGCTGATTTGTAGTTGGTTTTTAGACTTTCCTGCAGAGTTCCTGTATTGTTGCTGTCACTAGAGTCACTGTTCTTACAGTTAGACATTATTTTTAGGTAAGAATGTTGAATGAAATCCCATCTCCAAGGGGATTGTTCCAAGTCAAAAAATGAGTGACTGACTTCAGTGGGGTAGGAATTTTATCCCTGCAGTCACTTCCATGCTGAAGGTGAGAGAGACAGGGAGAAAAAGCCTTGCAAGGCATCGAGTGTCCTGTTGTCTCTCTCAAATTAACCCCTTCAACCTCAACTGTATGCAACAAGTTTTGGAGGCAGGATTGTGAGGGCAAAGGGAGGAGGTGAGAATTGTTGACCTATTGACCTTATTCCTGGGGAAGTCTCTCACAAGCTGCCTTATTTCCCTTGCCTGGGATCTGCTTGTGATTCTGCATTAGTGGGGATCCCAGCGGGTCTCTGATGCAAAAGAATCAAACCATCGGAGATCAGGATATGCCCGAGAGCAGTGCAGGGAGGGATGAGCACACCAAGAAGTACTTCTGACTGGAAAAATCCAGCTGTGGATTTTAACAGGTAGTTAGTTCTGGATTATCTACAATATGAAACTCGAATTTGGATGAGAAGTTTGCCTTACCATGTTTTTATATAGGGACAGTCTATTGCCATATTTTTTCTGATATTAATCATTTTATTCACAGTGAAAACCACTTATCTTTCATTTAATATTTTTGTAAATGATGTTGTCAAAATCCAGTTTCATCTTCCAGGAATATCGTGGAGAATTTTCTCTGAAACAGTATCAGAGGCATTGCTGCATGCCAAGTATTGGTGTTTTCAGAACAGGGACTGGGACAGGGCTAAAGAGATTGTACGGTTTATTTCTCTGAATTTGCTTCACAGAGGAAGGACAGGTCAACGTGTAAGCAGGCATTATGTGACTTGTAAAGCATGCCTAAATCAGCCTGCCTGTTCCAAACTTATTTCTGGAGTCATGTGAAAGCTGCCTGCTTACTTGGCCTGATGGAAGTATCAGCATTAAAGCCACTGGCTTGAATTCTGAACCTAACCATATCCCCTGCAACTCCAGATAAGTTAATGGAGCTGCAGAGGGAAACAGATAAAAGAAACAGATTTTGCCACAGGCTTTAGTGTATGTCATCATAGGACCTTCATACAGCTCTAACAGAAGTCAGGAAACTGAAGGAGAGAGATTAAAATTTTCTTCGAATCTCCCCTGAAATTTGGATTTCTGTGGAATCATATATTTACTTGAAGAGGTTTTTTTGTTGTGGGGCCAGTATCATCTGATTTCCTGAAAAATAGGGAGTTTATATCAAAACGAGTCATGAGCAGGCACAATCTTGCCATATGCACTGTTGGGGTGAATCTGATGGCCTTGAGGAAAGTTTAATATTTGATACATCAAGACAAATTCAGTGTTTGATTTTAAACCACTTCAATAATGTAGAGCTCAGCTTATTATATGCATTTATGGAACTCCTTGTAGTAGCTCTGAACCCAGAAACTGTAAATAAAAGTTCATTTTCATTCACATACAGAGCACAAAAGTTGCAAATTGCAACTTTTTTTTACCAGCAGGCCCAAGAGTCAATAAAGAGAAATTAGGACAATACTGCGAATAACAGAGGTAATTGTAATGGCCAATTTGACACGATTTTAAATTCAACTACTGGGAAATACATAAACACGCCCCTTATCTGTGGGATACAAGTACTGGCCTACAATAGAAACTGGGAAAAGCCTGGGAGGTTGTCATTGCTTTGTGTGACTGGGCATTTAAAACAAGGCAATGGGACTAAAAAAGAGGGCATGTGATTTGCTTTGCAACTTCACTGAGATGGGAGATAGGTGACTCAGTGTTCTGCACTCCACTTTTCTTACCATATGATACCAACACATACTGTTGAAAAGTAGAGGAGAATAGTGCCGAAGAAGTCTGTTTTCCGTTCTGTGTTCCAGGTCTACAGAAATTTTTAACATATGAGATTGGATTGTTAGTTCTTTTTTCTCAGTCGATGTGCTTTCTTCTATAACTTGGATGCAACTCTAGACAGAAACCCTGTATTGACTCCTTACTTAGCGGAGCCCCAGCTCCCTCCATGCAGAAAACCAGCATCACACTGGTACTCTTCAGCAGTGCAAAGGATTCATGCTAGCTCTTTGCAGAGAGGTCAAGTTTTTTTTATACCTCTACAGTTCCTCTGTTGCATCAGACATTACATACTAGAGAAAAGTGGACAGTACTTTGAATGAAAATCCTAAATACTAACCCCAAAAAAGGCAGATAGGGATTAAAAAAAAAAAAAATTACTCATGAAGTTCTGCACTGTTAGTTTCCCAAGGCAACTCCACCATTCTGCTGAGACACAGAAAAACAGACAGTACAACCCTCATTTTCTTGGCCTAACGGCTTGTATAATACCAGCTACGACGAAACCCAAGCAAATCACAAGTAGAAGGGTACTCCAATGCCACTTATCTTTTACCAGTCCATTGATTATGGTTTGATCTACAGAGTCCGTAGACTGATCTGGCCTGAAATTCAGTTATCTTGGTACACATTTGCAGCTACAAACAGCCCTTCAGTGCCAAGTGCAGCAGCAAACAAGCATTGATTTGATATCTTGGGTTTCTAAGTTTGAGTAACAGAATTTCCCAAATCAACATTTTCCTTCATCATACCTTAATAGACAGTTAAATTTCTCCTCTTAGGATAGAGGCCAAACTTTTTTTTAGACTGAAGGACAGAATACATCATTACTGCTCCAGTCCTACAACACAGTTCTTTCTTTGGAACTGATAGTGTTTTGTGAAAGAAACAAAGAAAGAAAGATGTTAATAATTTTCTCTTGGGATTATAGTTGCAAGTAAGAAATACTGCTTTTGGTGAATATAAGCCAGTCTTTTAAAAAGGACAGTGGCCTTCTCCACTTTGTCCTGCTCCCAGCAAATGTATGCTGAGGTAGCCTAAAACATGCTCAAAGTTATAGCAATACATTTTTCCTGTTTAGATGCTCATCAGTCACAAGAAGAGATGAAGATGAGCAAGAGTATTGCCTTTTTCAGAATTCTTCTAGCGTATGAAAAAAGACCTATACACACAACTAATTTGTACACCACTGCATGATCTCCTTCCACTCTTTGGAAAAAGCTGCACATGACCAAAAATTCTGGGAACTTTGGTATCCATTTTGGCTGTGTTACACGTAGATCTGCGGGCAGCTCCAAGCTGCATGCTCGCTTCTTGTGATCCCTCAATGGAGGAACCTATATCCGTAATTAATTTTCTTAGCTGGTTTGTTATGAGTTCAGCACTCCCGCCACAGGCCTTTCGGGAAGGTCCCTTGCATTTTTCATACCAAACTTGCCTGTTTAAAACCTTGTGTTCCTCTTGTCTTTCATCAGTCATACAAATGGCGTCATCACTGCGGAGGAGTGACGCAGTCCCTGGATAGCTGCATAAGGACCCTGCTGAAAATAATGGTGGTACCTCGGCATGTGGAAGGAAGGGAAAGTGGGACCACTACCTTGCATGGAGCTGGCTATAGCAGAGGGTGTAAGAGGCATTCCCAGGCGGCTGTATGGAGGCAGAGATCCTTGGATTGGATGAGGAATGGGTGTAGCTATGGATGCAGTGCTGGTACCCAGGGCACTCAAGGACTGTGGATGCTGAAATCCAGGGAAACTGGTTGAAGAGGATACCCAGGAACTGAGGGACAGGTTATCAGATGTTGTAAAAGCTGACCCTGCAAGCAAAGAGAAAGAATGCCGGATGTTTGCACTGCAACACACAAAGCAAAAAGGGAGAAAACATCCTCCACAGCAAGGCTAATTTTAATGACAAATTGTCATTGGAAATACTTCCCAAATAGTTCTCCTTATGTCTGTCTTTATATTATTGTTTGCCAGCTGCTGTCCTTTATCACTGCATCTTAGACAATTTTCCATTCTAAGAAGCTGGTTGCAGTGTCTTCCACAGTAAAATCAGCTTTGCACATTGGACATTTTTGGTACTAATCACTGAAGAACCTTGCAATGCCATCACTAAGCACTGAAGCATCTACGCTGACGTGCAGTCTCACTGCATTACATCCCTGTTTTGAAGACATGCTTGTAGCTTTTTACATCAGCTTCTCAGTAGAACTGGTTATTTTTTTCCTAAAATTTCAGTCTGGCAAAAATGCAGAAAAAATGTTATTTGCACATTAAGTTTTCCTTTTTTTTTTTTTACCCCAGTAGAACTTGTCAACACTGCATCTTTTCACTCAACTTGACTTTTTCCAAAATACCGAACAAAAAATTCTGAAACCTTTGTTATATTTCAACTGTGTACAGTGCTTTAAGAAACAACACTAATGCTAAACTATAGTAAGAGGTGTGGACTTTTAAGGGAAAATTACACAAATATTAAAAACTTGCTCCCGGGGTAATTATTTACTTTTGATCAAATGGCGTTTGGTTTCATTGGTATGTTTTAATCTGAAAACTTAAAAAAAAAAAAAAAAAAATCTTTTTCACAAACCTTCTACCTCTTTAAAACACTTTTTCTCTGAAGATTGCAAAATAAGAAAAAAAAGAAAAATGGTATTTTTAAATTAGAACCAATTGCTTATTCTATTTTTAGAGAAAAAATTTGGGAAAACAATTATTTGTTTGATAATTATACATGGTCATTTCCAAATAATCTGGTGACGATGTTGCCCTTCACCTCTGCAGTTCCTCTGTACATCTGGTCATCATCAGATGTCTGATTTCTAGAAATGAGGAATATAATAAAATCCTATAATTAAATTCTTACTATTTTATTCCTATTCAAACAGTAAATCAACTCATGTCTCTCCTGTATGTTCTTTCTTGTCCAACTTTATCCATTGAGAAAATGTTTGTTACTTTAAGAAATAAATTTACTGGCAAGACTGTTTGGTAAAATATAAGTTCAAGCCAGTACTGCAAAACATTCCAAGAAAATAAATTTTACAACATGTATTAGTTTCATAAATCTGATTCTAGAAGATAGATTCATTTAAATTGTGAAGACATCTACCTGTCAAGGCAAACTTAGTGGGATTGTAGCCACGGACTCAAAAAAACCCACAAACAAACAAATAAACAAACAAAACTATGAGCAAACAACAATAGAAAGAAAAAATGCAAATTATTATTAAAAAAACCCAGCCTCTTCAGAGATATATTCTTAAGTCAGAAAGAGAGCTACTCTTGATTAATTCCTCCTCTGTTTAATGAAACAGCCCAGTAACAGGAAAAAGAAATTGTGCCAGTTTAGCAGCAAAAACAGACTCGAACCAAATCCTGACCCCACCACTGAACCAAATCCTAACTGCTGGGAAGTTAGGATCCAGAGCCAAACTATAAGGATAAGACCATACTCACAGACCAGAGCAAAACCTGTTACAAATCAGGGGACATCTGAGCATTATTGCACTACAGGGAAAGCGGGATGCAAATCGGGATGTGACGAGGCTTACATTTGGCTCTGTTCCAGGTGGCTACCATGAGTCCTGTGTGTGGAACCTGGAGCACAGGCAGCCAGACATTATGCATTAAAGAGTTTTAATTGGATTTATATATTTTGTATCTGTTCATTCCTTTGGAAACAGGCTACTTGTGATAAATATACTACTGAAGGATAGCCACTTCCATCTCTAAATGGCTGAAATTGGCTGAGATGAGAATGCTCTGGATGTAATTAGAAATAAATAGCAATGATAGACTTCCTTTGTTCTACACAGAACAAAGTATGTGTTTCCTTCTCATGAGGAACCTCCATAAGGGCCCTTTCCTCCTACAACAGCAGTAGTCTCTAATTGCATCTCCATGCCCAGAAAAATCTCACACACCACGTTTGCCAGCACCAGGGAAACGTGCTGTAGTAATTCTGCGACAGTCGAGGCCTCAGAGAGCTTGTAACACGCGCCACCCAGCAGCATGTTTGCATCTGAAATTCAACTCTCCTACTTATAGAATAGAAGGACAGCCCTCAGTTTTGCGTACAAGGTAGTTTTCAGAGACTTCAGAAGAAATAAAAATGCCGGTGGACTTTTAATAAGATGGTTATTTCTCTCCTCATATCTTGGAGGACTTTTCCTTATTTAAGGACACCAGAACTAAACAGGGTGAAGGCAGTACAAGGTACTCATCTGCAAGAGCAGTCTGTTTTACCCTCTGTGCATGCCTCTGGTTGCCCAGAACAACCACGTCCCATCTTAGCATATGGCTCCCAGATTAGAAAAAAGTTGGTTGCCACAAGTCGTCATCTTCCTCACTGACTCATTTGCCATATTGCAAGCAAATGCAGAACTATACCCTGCACATATTATACATAAAATTAATTTTAACAAATTATTCCTTCATCTTCTTCCACCTTCCTCAGGATTCTCTTCAGAAGAAAGGCTCTAAGGGCCAGTTCTCGTACAGAGGTTCACCTCATTCACCTTGAACTCTCCAAGGAGGACATCGTACCAGGGAGAAGAAATATCATTCTTGGAGAGAAGGTGCCTTGCTCTGAGTACTTCTGGCAACTGTAAATTTAACGATGTCTTCAACAATAACTGACCTAGTATTTAAACTGACGTAAAGTGAGATAATCCCCAAGAATTTTGTGAAGGGATGGCATCGTACCAGCTGAGGAGTTTCTCCAGAAACACTGCAGCCTAAGGAACTGCTCTTGGCATAGACGTGTATGAACAAGCCCACCTAATCACATTTTGTTGAAGAGCAACTTGTGGTTAAAAATAAATGTGTTTTCCCTGCACGAGTCCAAAGAGCTTATGACCAGAAATAATGCTCTTATCTTAGCAACACTGTATGAAGTTAGAGGACAAGACAAGGGCACTGCCCGTCGGAAGGCAGATAGAACGGCTTTACCTCAAGTAGCTGTTGCATATCAGGCAGGTCACAAAGTCAACATGCAAAGTACAGTGCGACGAAAGTTTATGTTACTCAGCGATCCCACAGGATGGGTCTGAGATCTATTTCCAGTGGCAAATTATGACAGATGCAATTTGTCCGGCGAGTATCTCCGCAAAGAACAACTCTGCTTTGCTACTGCTTTTGCAACTGCTAAAGTAGACCATGCAATTTGTCCGGCGAGTATCTCCACAAAGAACAACTCTGCCTTGCTACTGCTTTTGCAAGTAGACAAACCATTTGATAAAGCATTTGAGGTGAACTGCCGCAGCAGGAAAAGCACCTTTTAGAGACCAAGTGATAACAATTAAACATCAATTTTACAGGGAGCTGTGGACTTTTCTTCCTGTCGAGGCAAAGCAGGTTAACCACAGGCTGGTTGAAGATGGTCAGAACCAAGTGCTCTGTCCGCAGAAGACTGGAGGGGCAGCAAATGGCACAGCTACACGTTACTTTACAAACATTGCCGAGCCCCAGCTGGAAAGTCCTGCCAAGGGATGGGGGAGTGTTAGCCTGTTCTTAGAACCATGGTAATGAAGTTGCCTCTTTTTCAGCCATCTTGAAAAGGAAGGTTAATTTTCTTCTGCTGGTAAGGGCTATATAGTTGTCTCTAGAGCTGCCTCTTGAACTAGCCACCCACCCCAGTGCCATGGGCATATCAGATGTCCAGAAGAGCCATAAGGTAACAAGTATTCCTCTTCGTTACAGGACTTCACAGCAGAGAGACATGCCCAGAGATATGCTTCGGAGTAACACAGTTCTGGCTGTGGTCCTCCTTTTCTCATGCATAAGTAGGTCACCACAGTTTACTTCATGAGCACATTTTCCTACCTCTGCTTTGTGTTGCCTGGGTGTCGTCTCCAAGATCATCTTCTCCTCCATAGGTTCGAATGGGGGATCGGGCATAGGAATGCTTTTGGATAAGGCTCTCAACGCTTTCTCTGTGAAAGGAAACAACATACTGTATCAATAACACCCTAAACAGCCTCCTGAATCATTAGGTTAAATACAAGGAAAATGCTGTCTTTTCCCTGTTCAGATCACAGCTTTCTCACAGACTCTCCAAATTAGTTAACAAAAGGCTCACCTCATAGCATGTCACTGGCAATGCCAGTCTTGGCCTGCGGTGTTTTAACATTGCTGATCACGTCTTACCTGCGTGGTACTGCTTCTTCAGCAGACAAAGTAGAGTGAACTTCCCGCTGCATTCCCTGGATGCGGTCTGACACAGGGAATGTAAGACCAGCACTCTTCACAAATTTGAAAAAACAAGTTCTGGGCTTATTCATGCTGAGTGACCAACCTGGGTTCAAAGAGACCCCTGTGGTCCAGCTTCTTTTGAACATGCTTTCACATCACACCTGACCACATCGTCTGGTGCTCTCCCATTTTGCTGAAATCGGCGGCAAGGGAGAGATGTGTCCAGAGCACAGCTCAGCTCTAACGACGCGCTCTCAGACTCAAGGCCAATCCGTAGCGGGAAGTCTGCAGATACTACCATGCCATGTCTATTCTGGGAGGTTAGATGTGTCTGCCAGGCCCCTACCTGGCTGGTGGCACAAAGCACTGAAGTCACCAAAACGATTTTAAATAGATGGAAGGCATATCTGAACGATAAGCCATAGCGGTTTGTAAGGAAGATTCAACCTTACACGTTCCCAGCGCATTTCCATGTAAGTAGGTGGCATTATACCAAAAATGAGTACGACCTCAGCACATTTACAAAATGGCTTTGACCTTCTGTTCCTGTTTAAGAAATCTAGGTAGCGATAGCTGTTTAAATCTGCTGCTCAGTGAAGACTTTGTCTGAATTTAATATTTGGCCATTCATACTTGCTAATGCCCTTTGCTCAGAGAGTGTGGCTGTTGTAGAAATTCTGAGGAAAAACCTTTTCCAAGTAACATGATAAATCACAATGGCACATGTTTTCCTTTCCTACAGAAAGCCCATTATGGTCATTTTGTCCTTGGTCTATCACTGGCATCATTACTTATGCTAGTCTCCTCAGAAAAAAATAAAAAGGGGATCTTATCAAAGTGATTTACTTGTGTCAGGACTGGAAGTGGACTGAAAGCAATGGCCGTTCCTACATGGAGGATGATATAATTGAATTACTGCCTTTTAAGTGATTGAAAACAGTAGGCATATCAGCACTATCTCGAAGAAGATTTTACAAAGAAAAAGACAGATGGCATTGTTTACATTATGTGCTGAAACTTATTTTTTCTTCTGAAGTAGAATATGAAATGCAAAGTATTTTACTTAAGCAAAAAGACTATCTCAGATGAGTTCAGAATAACAGAATAATGAATTAGACCAGTGTTGTCTGAGTGATTTAGATATATAAACATATTCATAACCAAATAATTACTAATCTTTAAAGGTCTGAGAAATAAATGACTTTTAGGTGATTGCCGGTATTGTCTCTATTGACTTTATTTCTGCTCAAGGTTTGCTTCTAATGGCAGACATTACAGCATGTAATAATATCCTGATGCAACAGAAACAATACAGGCTCTAGATATAGTGCAGTGGGCCAAATTCATCTCTAAAACATTGGATCCCATGGTGGTTTGGGGATAAACTCACCCCAATAAATTTACATTTGAATTACCTACAGGGATTTAAAGCTAAAACAAATGCCCACAATTATTACAGACCAAATTCTTTCCAGATGGGTTTGTATGCTAGACAGAGAACTCTATTATTCTATATGGTTGTCTTCTTTTAAGGAAAAAAGAGACATGACTTCTCAGTGAACCCTGAATCTGCAAAGTTTGTAACCACAGAATTATGTGGTAGGTTTATTTATTTATTTTGAATGTTGTAATGTTGCAGGTAGTATGCTAAAGGTTTTAGAATATTAGTTTCATTCATTGGCACAAGAAGCAAAGGGTTTTATGGCAGAAGGAATGGTCTAACGAGGAAACTTCGGCCAGGTAAAGCAACTAACTCCACAAAAGTACTTCCTTTTTTGCAGCTGGGATTTAATATTCAAAAGTGTATATGCTATATGCTTATCTTGCCTAACCATGTTGATGGCTTACACCATAATCACAACACACCTACTAATTATTCATTTTTGAGGTTGAGGCTGTGATTCATATCATGAGCACAAAGCATTGAGATTTGCACCAGAATTTAGGCACCTGACCCCCACAGCCTTCAGGTAGACACTCTTCTTTCCATATACACGTGTTGCATATTAACCTCCAGACAGACCTATGAAATGCAAAAGGCTGAGCAGAAAACCACCAACGTGTTCAAAAGGACACGAAGAAAAACAAGAAGGGATGTCTTTTCAGCACACATGAAGTATGTCTCTGAGTTATCCCACCAAGCACTGTTTCTTCCACCTAGAAAAACAAGAGCTGAAGTCTGCACTTAGGTTTCTCTCATCCTGGACAAGTGAGCTAAGTTAAAGGATAATCTTCCCTTTCTTTTGTGTTTCAAAGGAAAGGGATGGTGGCCTCTACACCATGGTCAAATATTTCATGCTCAGAGAACACCACCCAGACATCAAGTCTTCTTGAAGAAGAGAGGGGTTGCAACTCATCTAATCTATGGAAACACACGGAGTGTCCCACATAGGTTGGAAAGAAGAGGCCAACCTCCTCCACCCTCTAAAGACAGAGGTCATTTAAGACCTTCTCCAAAGTAGATGTGTAGGAAGAAGCAAAACTTTAACAACAAGATTGAAATACTAGTGAAATCTAGTTCAAAATGCAGGAACAAAGCTGGAAATCTGGAACACAGGTTCCTGCTTATACCCTCTTATCAACCAGACCCAGAAGGACTTTAATTTCAAAATCTTTCTGAAAATTCTGTTTATGGAAGTGTGAACTGTTTAGGATGTCCAGAATATGGTGCTCTGTAGAGTGGACTGATAAAATACATTTTTTCAAGTCCCAAAATATTAGAATAATAGTAATACTACTACTAAGACGGAAAGACATTAACTTAATGCTCTGGCTTTACTGTTCTTTCTGCAACATCTTGAGCTATTTTAATGTCATTCAAAGGATTTATGGAAATAATATTGGAAAATACTGAAACATAGATCAATATTTCCCATTTTATGATTCTTGCTCAATAAAAAATAAAATAGCAAGTGAAGAGTACAGTGGAGTTTTTTTAAAGCTTTCCTTTAGTTTTGTTCAGAGTTGATCCACATTAACTGGCTGAAGAACAAAGTGACTTCCAGTTACTCAGTGCTCAACTTCTGCACATCTGTTACTCAGTTTGTCATCAGACACTTGTTATCTAATACTTGGACCTAACAACTTTTACCTTTTGATGCATCTTAGAGCTCCACATTTTCTTCTATTAGCAATAAATTAGCAATAAACTTTGTTTTGGGAGATCATGAGCTGCCAGCTGGATAAAGGAAAGATGCCTTCTTTCTGTCAAATCCTTTTGTGTGGTCTACCAACAATTTTGAGACTTCCAGGCTTCAGCTCACAGATATCTTGTAAATACCCAGAGGAGGGGAAAAACACACACATAGGCATAATATATTACTGTGATTAAGCTGTGCTATGTGTACAACTGGATAATAGTAGCAGATGACAGCCTGAAGAAGAGCAATTTAGGGGCTGAAAATGAGAAAAAGAAGGAGGAAAAGTGTGCCAAATGGAGAGGAAAAAACTAGGCTTATATTGGCTCACACACCCACAGAGATGGTGCTGAGGCAGGACAAATGTGAGGGGAGGTAACACGGAAAAGAAGCTCAGGCTGATCCCAATGATCTGTATTCTGACAGAAGCCTTGACCCCAGCCCTGTCAGTAAACCTCTGCTCATTATGGACAAAGCAGTTCTCTCTTGTGCAAGAAATAAGACGGTGAATTTTGAACCAGGAGTCAAAGGAAATAAAGAGTTGGGAGAATGTATTGATTAGCAAGGTTTTAGGGCGCACAGGGAGCATCTTGCCATTCTGCAGGTTTTAAACTCTGGAGTGAACACTTCACTCTGCTGGCAACCGATTCCGAAAGTAAAAATCCAGCTAGGGATGCTTTATGTCTTGCAGCTACAAGCTGAGTCTTTGACCTTGTTCAGTTAACTGTGCCCTGTACATACAGCGTAGTCTCAGAGGATCAAACACAGATAGGAAAATCCTGATGTAGCTGACAAATGATTCACTAACACTTTACAGACTAAACCCAAGATCTTTCCATGGATGTGAACTGGGAGATGGTAGAAAACAGAGCTGTCTTGGGAAGCAGCTGAGGAGTGAGACCCTGTGTGAGGTTGCTCACTTCCTTTTGCTGTCAACCCAGATTACAAAAGTTCTCTGGGGAGATGGTGAAGTCCCAGATTACCCTGAGCAGGATCTTTAATCAAGATGAAAGAATCTTACTTCTTTGTAGGCGGAAAAAGGCATCTCTTCGATGATGCTTTGTGTCGTCTTTTTCTGCTCCTTTTGCTGTAACTCTGCTTCAGCTGTGCGCTCACAGCAGCCTGGTGATCACCGTGAACCTGATTCCCAAGCATATGGCTCTAAGCCCTGTTGATACGGAAGAGGGCTCACCTGCCCGCAGTGCTCTGTCAGCACTGATGCTGCTACGTGCCGGCACGCACCTGAAGCTATGGGACTCCAGTTCAATTTGGCAGAGCGTGCACCCAGGGGATGGAGACGGGAAGCCTACCTTCTCTTTTGGACGAGGAGGCTTGAGGCAATGTATGTGGTTTTGGCAGGTGTTAGGAAAGCTTATCTAGCTTGCTGGAGCCAGCCTGGGTTACTGTTCACCTTAAATCTAAACCATGTCTCCAGAAAGGATGGGGTTGATGTGATAGGCAGTCATCCATTCCACTGGGAGCCAGGTTCAACCTTCTTGGAAGAAAACGGGCAAAAGCCAGAGTGTGGTGAGAAAGAGCAGGTGGCAGAGGCAGGCACTCTGAACTCATACCTTCCACAGAAGCCACTGTCCCAGGAATGGCTA